TTTGACTGGTTGACATATATATACAGCACACCTAGATACAGAAAAATTGATTATATGATTCCGTCACTTTCCTGGGATTCTTTCACTGTTGTCTTTCATCCTTCGCTTCATTTGTTTTTCGCCAGAATCTGACACACATCCCCACCACGTCTAAAACACCTCTGACTTGTTCTTCTCCGCCGCTCACCCACCTCCGTCCATTTGTTTCTTTAAAATTCTGGTTAAACTCTGTACTATGAAGATGGATGAGAGGAGAGTTTTGTCATTGAGGAATGTTTTGATGGTGTCTTTGGCTTTGAATGGAAGTCGTGGAGCGGACCTTGCTCGCCTTTCTTAGAGTTCCTTGGCCGAACTGATGTTGCTCGCCAAGAAGCAAGTCGCGTAGCGGACCTTGCTCGCCTTCCTTGGAGTTCCTTGGCTGAGCTGATGTTGCTCGCCAAGAAGGAAGTCGCGGAGCGGACCTTGCTCGCCTTTCTTAGAGTTCCTTGGCCGAACTGATGTTGCTCGCCAAGAAGGAAGTCGCAGAGCGGACCTTGCTCGCCTTCCTTGGAGTTCCTTGCTGAGCTGATGTTGCTCGCCAAGAAGCAAGTCCCGGAGCGGACCTTGCTCGCCGACCTTGGAAGCTCCTTGCCGAGCTGATGTTGTTCGCCAAGAAGGAAGTCGCGGAACGGACCTTGCTCGCCTTCCTTGGAGTTCCTTGCTGAGCTGATGTTGCTCGCCAAGAAGCAAGTCGCGGAGCGGACCTTGCTCGCCGACCTTGGAAGTTCTTTGCCGAGCTGATATTGCTCGTCAAGAAGGAAGTCGCGGGGCGGACCTTGCTCGCCTTCCTTGGAGTTCCTTGCCGAGCTGATGTTGCTCGCCTTCTTTGGAGTTCCTTGGCCGAGCTAATCTTGCTCGCCAAGAAGGAAGTCGTGGAGCGGACCTTGCTCGCCTTCTTAGTGCGGTCACTGTTTTGCTTACTAAGGACTGAGGAAGTATTACCCTGGTCAGGATAGGTAATCCCAGTCACGCTTCAGCGGACGGAATTAAGGGGCAATTGAGAGGGAGATTAATGATATGAAATTTGGGCCGGACAGATTTGGGCCGGACAGAGTTGGGCCGAACAGATTTGGGCCGGACAGAGTTGTGCTAGACAGATTTGGGCCGAACAGGTGTTGGGCCAAGTTGTGTGGCTCGGCCTTGAAGGAAGCTGCTGGGTTAAGGCAGCGCGTTGATTGACCGAGCTGCAAGGATCCGTGGTTACGAAGCCGGTCAGGTGAAAAGTCCAGCGCCAGGAAAGGCAAGGTTGGACCGAGGTACCTGTTTGCTCGGCAGGTAGGTCGACCGCAGACAAGCGTAAGTAGTCCCGAGCTCGGCTTTGCCGAGATGACGCCGAGTCCGGTCCTCATCTGAGTTTAGCTGTTGGAGTACTTGGGCATGAAGCGCGCATGGCAGACGATGGCCGAGATGGAACTGCCCGGCTGCCGAGCTCCCAGGAGAATGGGCAGGCAGTTGGGTTAGGCGGTGCTCAGCAAGGTTTATGAGAGGTCACTGAGAGTAGATTTGGGGCGCAGAAAGTTTATAAGCACGTCTGCGCCCCCCACACGCGGACAGAGGAACATTTTGGTAAGAGAAACACTTATACTCAACACTCTCCCTTCTCTCTATCTATCCCCTGGTGTGTGTTCTAACTTGACCGTAGGAGGGGTTTTCCGGCCACACACCGCCGGGTAGCTCACCGCCTTTGTGTACACAGGTGATCGGATAGAAGCGAAGCTTGGAAAAAAGGAATACGGGCTTGCCTGAATATTTGCTCCCCGTACAATTATATATACATTTTTTTATATTATTATTTTTTAAAGTTATATATATATACACCGTTCCGATTTAACATATTAAAGCAATAGCTCTAAAAATATTACCAATGAGCTGGCAAGTGTAAGAAAAAAAAAATTAAAAAAAAAAAGGTTAAACTATCACATAGTAGAGTCCACATGATACCATATCATTAATAATATATTAGTGATGTTAAATTAGTGGTAAGAAGTATTTTTCATATATATATATATATATATATACAGCACACCTAGATACAGAAAAATTGATTATATGATTCCGTCACTTTCCTGGGATTCTTTCACTGTTGTCTTTCATCCTTTGTTTCATTTGTTTTTCGCCAGAATCTGACACACATCCCACCACGTCTAAAACACCTCTGACTTGTTCTTCTCCGCCGCTCACCCACCTCCGTCCATTTGTTTCTTTAAAATTCTGGTTAAACTCTGTACTATGAAGATGGATGAGAGGAGAGTTTTGTCATTGAGGAATGTTTTGATGGTGTCTTTGGCTTTGAATGTTGGGCTGATTTTGAGGATTGGGTATGTGGGTGAGAGTTGGAGGAGATCAGAACAGAGCTTTTCTGGGTTGTGTTTGGAGAAGAAGCAGGAAAACAGAGGCGCTTCCATGGCGGATTCTTCCCTGAAAGTGGTGCACGTTAGCGAGAGGAATCATGTGTCGTCGTCATCAACTTCTTCGACTGCTCGTACGGAATTTGAAGATGCTGGAGAAAGCGTCATCAATCTCGAACAGTAAGTGAAAAACTCTGTTGTTTTTAAGAATTAAAATAAAAAAAAAAAAGTTTATAATGTCTATTTTTTAATTTTTAAAAAATTAATTAAAAATTAATTTTGGAAAAAAATAAAATAAAAAAACAGACCTCCCAGTATTTATTTTCTATAATTTAATTTTTCTTGAATTTATCTTTTTAGTATTTATTTTCTAAAAAAAAAATTTAAATAGATTTTGAAAATCAGACCTCCCAGTTTACTCGAGTGAGTGAAGATTTTGAACGGATTGTTTCAATTTCACTAAAGATTTTTATTGCATTGCATGATTAATAGTTGTAAAAAAATTATTTCAATTTTTTAATATATTTGGAAATATAAAATAATAAAGGAATATTTTGGATGTATAATATTATGATAATTATAGACAGTTAATTTTAAATTTTAATAATATAATATAATTTTATAAAATGAAACTGAGATCTTTGTTCTATCTAGAAAACAAAGAGAATTAGAATTTGATTTGAAATTTATCACCAACTCTCGAATTAATTTGGCCTGATTTTGATTTTTTTGGCTAATTTAACTTGATTAAATTAGATTCGTTTAGAAAAAAAAAAATTAACTTTTTAAGATTTGATAAGATTAATTGTAAGAAAAAAAATAAATAATTATAATTTAAATATAATATTTTATTTTATTAATTTATTTTAATTTTTTTATACTTATTTATCCTATTTAACTTTTACAAAGACGCCTTCGTTTAAAAAATTATTTAGGCTAAGTTTGGCAACTCCAATATAATTTATCTTTTTATTTTTTTTTCATCACATCACCTCTTTACTTTTTTACACATCTTTTCATAAAAAGATAAAAAATACACTTATTTAAGTAATTCCAAACAACCCTTTAATAGTGCAAAATAAATATCCCCATGACTCATATCACCTAAGGGAATGTAGAGCGAGCATATTTAACGGTCTATTAAATTTTTCATTAAATTTGAATAAGAGGTTTATTTAATATTAAGTGTTTCAAAAGAGGTTTTTGAAGTTTTATTAGAACACCAGTCGATCGGATGGACGATCGGTCAGTGTAAATTTTTTATAAATTTTTACCTTCAGATGGTCATTCGAGGGGTCGACTAGACAGATGTCTGGCCAGTCAATCGGCCACTGTAAATATTTTATAAATTTTTGTCTTGAGGTGGTTATTTGGGAGACATACGATGGTGAAAATCTAATGACAATAAATAGTGATTTGATGAAAGACACATTAATCTTTAGTTTGATAAAATAAGAATAAAATTCTAAATTTAATACGTATTTAAAGAAATCGTTGGAATATAATAATAAAAAAAAATTATCAAATTTAATTTTGAGTACAGTTTTAAGTAACCAATGGTATGAGGTCCACTCCATCGCTACAACTATACTTTTTTTCAACTTGAAGGGATGATGTTCCAAGTTACTCAATTTTTATTTTTGGGTAATTTACACTTACACCTCTGAAGTTTGAGTTTAATACAATTTACCCTTTAATGTTTGGAAAATTACACTAATCTTCTTGTCATTGTAATTAGTTAGACGGAATGAAAACATTGAACTCATGCACTCTCTCTTTTTTTACTATGTTTTACTTTCTAATTTTTTCCCTTGTCATTTACTTTTTTTTTTAATGTAATTTCGTCTATTTTTTTACTAGGAGTTGTTATCTTTTATATAAGGGCAAATTACATATACACCCCTCCAGGTTTGGTTAAATTACAGATACCCCCCTGAGGTTTCAGAAATTACATCCCGCCCCCTGAGGTTTGTATTTTCATAACAATTTACCCCCTGAGGTTTATATTTCAAATAAAATTATTAACCACAGGGGTGAGAATGTAATTTCTAAAATGTCAGGGAGTGAATAGTAATAGGACCAAACCTCAAAGGGTGCCAATATAATTTACCCTTTTATTTTTTAAGTAAATAATTACTCATTTTGCTCACGTCATTACGCCTATTTTATTAGAGTGATGTTATTTGTGAGTATTATAAATGTGTTCGGATTTAATAAATAGAAATGTTAATAGGGTAGCCCAAAAAACATTTTACGAATTTTGTTAAGTGTTCCAACAACACTCACATAAACAATCAAACCTGGAGGGGTGTATATGTAATTTGCCCTTTATATAAATAGGGGGGTTTGTGAAATAAAATTATTAACTACAGGGGTGAGAATGTAATTTTCAAAACGTCAAGGAGTGGAGAGTAATAGGACCAAACCTCAAAGGGTGCCAATATAATTTACCCTTTTATTTTTTAAGTAAATAATTACTCATTTTGCTCACGTCGTTACGCCTATTTTATTAGAGTGATGTTATTTGTGAGTATTATAAATGTGTTCGGATTTAATAAATAGAAATGTTAATAGGGTAGCCCAAAAAACATTTTACGAATTTTGTTAAGTGTTCCAACAACACTCACATAAACAATAATAAATTGAAAATAATTATATATTACTTATTATAGGATTTTTATAGGAGTGTAAAAATAGTCTGCGGCTTGTAGACGGTCCGAAATTTGCCTGTGACTCAGGGTGAGCCTGGCCTGATTAGGCCCGGTTAGTCCAAGGCTTGGGCCTGGGTCATTATTTTGAAGCCTAGGCTTGGGCCTGGGTAATTATTTTGAAGCCTAGCCCGACCCATGGGCCCCTCAAGACCCGCTCAAAACTTGACTTGAGGCTCAGTGTCATTTTTGGTGGGATAAAAAAATTTTAGTGAAAAAAATATAAAAAATTGTTTAAGCCCTGTTCAAGCCTGAACCTAGGCCTATCAGCCCGAATACCCTTTGGGTCTGGGCTTAATTTTTTGGCCCGTGGGCCGGTCCGAGTTTTGACAGGAGCCTGCGAGGCCGGACACAGGCCTGAGTGGGTCGGGCCGGGCCAAATTTACACTCTAATACATCATAAAAATATGTATAATTATTTTTAATTTTATCAACATGACTCAAATAATTTTCTACAAATCCTTGGAAGGAAATTCTAACATATATTCCCTTTAAAAATGATGTATTATGGGTTGGTTTGGGAAGTGGGTTGGTTTTTTGGATTTTTTACTTTTTTGACTATTTTAGCCTAGGTTAAAAAGTTTGATTTGGGAAGGATTTTTTGATTTTTTGACTTTTTTGACTTTTTTTGTGAGAGAATAGTGTAATGAATATGGGTTAGATGTGATATTTTGTTTGTTACGACTAAAATAGTCTATTTTGCCTTTTGTGACTATTTTAGCCACAAACCATCTTCCCAAACCGACCGTATGGGTGTGTTTGATTGGACGGACTGGAAAAGGGGGGATTAGAATCCATCGGACTTGAATCCTGGGACTGTGAATCCCCCGGACTATTTGGTCGGATTGGATATGTATCCTGTGTTTGTTTTTTCATGGGATTAGATGTCTGGATAGGACTATTTTCAGTGAATCCAACGTTTGGTTGGACGGACTGGATAGGATAAATGAACAAAAGACTATTTTACCCTTTTTCAATTGTTTACTAAGGTCAAGTGTGTTGGTGTTATTACGAATCGATGATTGTGAGTACGCGCCACCACACTCATGGGCACACGTTTGGGCCGCACAATTTTTGGAGGCTCATTGGATGATAGAGTGGGGTTCGATTGTATGGGAACACTACTAGCCTTTCTTCGGTTTAATGAGCCCTAGCAAATCAATTCCCTCACCCTTCAAACAAAGAATATTTAAATTTGTGATTTTTATTATTTTAAATCAGTAAAATTTTACGTTTTGTTGATTGATGTATAGATTATGTTTAAACAATTAACAAATGTTGATGTAATTAACAATTAACAAATGTAGATGTAATCAAATGTTGATGTATTAAAACATAATTTAATAGATGTTAAATAAATATACATGTTGATGTACAGATGTTGAAATAATTTAATAAACATGTTGATGTACAAATGTTTAAATGTTTAAATAAAACATAATTTAAATAAATGAAATTATTTATTGTTGAAATTAAACATTTAATTGTTTAAATAAAACATCTATTAAAACATCTATTAAATTTAAACAATGAAATTAAATAAAACATAAACAAAATTTTAAAATAAAACATCAATAAAATATCTATAAAAAATTATTTTAAAAAATTAAATAAATAAAACATTAATAAAAAGTTAAATAAAATTATTTTATTTTTAAATTGAGACATTTAAATATATAATACATAATTAAATAGTAGAGGGTCAAAATGGTCATTTTCGCATATAATCCAAACAGTGATTAGTCTCCCACTTTCTGTCCCACCTCCCCCCAGGACAGGATAGTCCTCCATATGGGGGACATGGAGTCCGCCGGACTAAAAAAAAATCAAACGACGGATAAGGTGCACTATTTGGATTACAATTCAAATAGTGGATAGTCCCCCCTCCTAATCTCCCTAATCAAACACACCCTATATGTGTTATGAGAATTGAGAGAATCCCTTTAAAAATGGTGTATTATATGTGTTATGAGAATAAAGAGCAACTGAGAGAGAGAAGCTATGAGAAAGAGACCGAATATAACTTTGTATATTTCAATGAATAAATATGAGTTAATATAAGACTCTTTTATATAAGAGAATGAGAACCTAATATAGTAATGCAAAATATGATAAGTAATGCACAATATGATAAGATGGTAAAACACAATATGGTATGGTGCACAATATAGTAATATAGATATGTACAGCTAATAATATGTATGTTTATTTTGTGTAATTTTTTTCTTTAGTTATAATATTATTTTAATTGTAACTTATGAATTTTTTAGTTATATCTTATACTATATTTAGTTATAATATTTTTTAAAATTATGATTTAAAAAACTAAAATTATCCCAAATTATTTTTTATTTTTTATTTTTATTTATAAGAGGTATACAGTGTGACCATAATTGAAGGGTATGTTTAATATTTTTGACTGGTTGACTCTATTATTAACTGGTACTAGTGGTACTGTTGAGAAACCATATC